TGTTTGTTTTGGTTTTTTTTATGGTACGCGGGCCTCTCACTGTTGTAGCCTCTCCCGTTGCGGAGCACAGGCTCCGGACGCCCAGGCTCAGCGGCCATGGCTCACGGGCCCAGCCGCTCCGCGGCATGTGGGATCTTCCCGGACCGGGGCACCAACCCGTGTCCCCGGCATCGGCAGGCGGACTCTCAACCACTGCGCCACCAGGGAAGCCCTGTTTATCTGTTTTATGTATAATAGTTTGTTAATCCCAAACTCCTAATTTATCCCTCCCCCGTCCCTTTTCCCTTTGGTAATCATAAGTTTGTTTTCTATGTCTGTGAGTCTGTTTCTGTTTTGTGTATAGATTCATTAGTAGTATTCTTTATTTTTTTTTTGTCTTTGCGGTACGCGGGCCTCTCACTGTCGTGGCCTCTCCCGTTGCGGAGCACAGGCTCCGGACGCGCAGGCTCAGCGGCCATGGCCCACGGGCCCAGCCGCTCCGCGGCATGTGGGATCCTCCCGGACCAGGGCACGAGCCCATGTCCCCTGCATCGGCAGGCGGACTCTCATCCGCTGCGCCACCAGGGAAGCCCAGTATTATTTTTTAGATTCCACATATGTGATTATCATATTTGTCTTTCTCTGACTTACATCACTTAGTATGATAATCTCTAGGTCCATCCATGTTGCTGCCAATGGCAATATTTCATTCTTTTTAAACACATCAGATGTCTTATTGGTCACATTTATTTTTTCCTTGAGACCATCCTCTAGGGACCCTCCATTATCCTGTTCAGACCAGAAGTGTCTGTTCACTAAACCTTCCATACAGCTATGAATCCCTGTTAGGTCCAACACTTTTTTTTCTGGTGGATTCTTTGCCAGATTCCATACTGTTTTCTCTATTGCTTTATATCCTTGGTTGGTGAAATTCATCCTCCAGGAACTTCATGAGAATGGAGGCCTAGAAATATATCTTTTTTGAAAACTTGCATGTTTGAAAATGTCTTTATTCTGCCTTTGCACTCGTTGTATACTTTGGCTAGGTATAAAATCCTATGCTAAAAATCATTTGCCTTCTCAATGTTAATACATTTCCCTGGAGTTTTCTGTTGTAAAGGGCTGATGTTGAGAATTCTAATATCCTTTTGCTTATAACTTTTAGAGAATCTATCTTTGTCCTTCTGGACCTGGAAGCTGTTAGAATCCTTTTCCTTCTTCTTAGTGTTCTGAAATCTCAAGGTGATATGCTTTGGTGGAGATCCTTTTCTTTCTTCATTTTGGTGAGTAGGTCCTTACAGTCAGAGAGTGCATGTCCTGGGACTTCCCTGGAGGTCCAGGGGTTAAGACTATGCACTTCCAATGCAGGGGGTGTGGGTTCGATCCGTAGTTGGGGAACTAAGATCCCACATGCCGTGTGGTGTGGCCAGAAAATTAAAAAAAAAAAAAAAAAAAGTGCACGTCTCTCACCTCTGGGACATTTTCTTATATTTCTCTTGTAGTTTCTTCCCCACCATTTTCTCTGTCTTCTCTCTCTGCGTAAATATTGAAGTTCATAGATTGACTGATTTCCTTCTCTTTTCTTTCCTCTTGCCCATATATTTGTCTTGAGTTCTATTTTCTTTTTTCCCTAAGAGGTTATTGATTTTTAACTTCCTGTCATTTTATTGGATTTATGTCAGATCCAGAGTTTCCCTGGTTCATTTTCTTCTCTGAATAAACTTTTTGCTTCTGTTGGTGTTGGGAAGTGGTGGTCACTTGGGCGATATGGGTGGACAGAGAGATTAGGGTCTACTGTTCCTTTAATAGTGGATTGACTAATCCCTACCTCCTGCCTTTGCTGATACCTGGTGCCTGCAATTCCTGAGCCTTTCTGAGATTTTTCAGCCTGAGTTGACTTGCTTTTCCCTTCCGTCTTCCACTGTAGGTACTTGGTATTCAGCCATCACAGCTTTGCTAACTCCTTCATTCACTGTTCATCTTCCAAGATAGTCATTAATATCTCTCATACTCTACTGTAGTCATGACTATTTTCTTTAACCTTGTGGTTTTATACATTTTAAAATTCATTCACTATCATTTTGGTAGCATTTCAGAAGTGGACAGGGATATATGCATGTGTTCAATTTTCCATGTTTACTTAAAACCATTTACTATTCTTTTTTTTTTTTGCGGTACGCGGGCCTCTCACTGTTGTGGCCTCTCCCGTTGCGGAGCACAGGCTCCGGACGCGCAGGCCCAGCGGCCATGGCTCACGGGCCCAGCCGCTCCACGGCGTGTGGGATCTTCCCGGACCGGGGCCCGAACCCGCGTCCCCTGCATCGGCAGGCGGACTCTCAACCACTGCGCCACCAGGGAAGCCCCATTTACTATTCTTTACTAAACATGTGGCCGTTTTTTCTGATTCCTGGTACTTGGAGGAAAAGTCTTAATTTGAGTTCTGGTTGTAGACCTTCCCTTCCTCCTTCCCTCTCTCCCTCCCTTCTTTTCCTTCCTCCTTTTCTTGTCTCTCTCTTCGTTATGTTTTTTCTTCATCCTGTCCTTCTGGCCCGACTCACAGACAGTGTCTCAGCCACTTCATACTATTTGGCTTCAGAATCTTCAGGCTCCATCTAGGCTTTTCTTAATTTCTTGTGATCACAGAATTATTGCTTGCTATGTTATTATGAGATATTTTATTTTACTGTTGATTCTATGGATCTCAACTCGTTCTTTAGATCCTCCTGTGATGATGAGGATGACAGTGATAAGAACGATATATTTATGGAGCTCTTGACAGGTACCAAGCCCTAAATTAAGCATGTTACATAGATTATCTCCTTTAACTGACCCAATGGGCTAGTTAATATTTATTTTCTCATCTTATAGATAAGAAAACTAAAGCTCATGGAGTTTTCATAACTTGCCCAAGAAAATATTACTGGTGAGTTGTCAAAGTAGGTTTTTAAAGAACGATTTCCTGACATCCAAGATCAGACTTTTACCCATACCACAATACTACAGGCTTCTTGATGGCAAGTGGTATTAGACAAGGCACTGATCAAAACATTATTTTGAACCATGGGATTCCCACCAGTTGCCTGAACACTTTCTAACAATAGAATGAGATGCCTAATGATTTCGTGAGTGCTCCTCTGGAAATAGCTACATCCGGGGGTTGGATGGCCTTGTGTGAGGATGTGTGTGTGGGGAGGATTCCTGCATTTGGATGGAGCGTGGACTTTACAATCCCTTTGTTTTATTTTGTTTTTTTACATTAATGATAGTTAACATTTATTGAGCAGTTACCTTGTTCCAAACATAGTTGCTATTAAATTGCCTTTATATACCTTATCTCATTGAATTGATTCTAGGACCTATCTTTTAGCATCATCTTCATTGAGTAAGGAGGCAACTGAGGCTAAAGAGATTATCTGACTTGCACAGGGTCACACACCAGGGAGTGAAAGAGCTGAGATTTCAACTTATAATTATCAGGAACTATAAGCTAAAGACCAAAACAATCAGAGATTTTCCCTGAATGAGCAGTAGCCACAGCAAGTTCGAACAGAGGGGTGGCTGAAGACTCACATGGGAAGTAAAGTTGATCTTCTGCTTCCCCCTCTCGGTTCCCCTTCTCTTTTTGGGTCTTGCTCTCATGAATTCCATATGTCAATCCCAAGTCTCCTTCATGGAGACCTTGACCATGAATTGTGGAGGAAAAGAAACCTGGGCCAGAGCCTGGGTCCTTATGCCAGGCTTTGGACTGCAAGCAACCCCTAGCCACTCTGAGTCTCAGCCCTCCCAGCTGTAAAATGGTAATAACAACCTTAAATTATAGGCACAATCCCTTTAAACATTTCAGGTTTATGCTTCTGACTGTTCTGCTGTTAGTTCTCCTTCCACAGTCTCCTAGAAACTTCCTCTTAGACCAATCAGCAGAACTGGGACCTCACTCCTTATCCTCATTTCATTCTCTGTGTATTGTGTAACAGTGGGAGGGATGAAAAGATCGTACCTTCAGGCATTTAATTAATCTTAGCATTTAATATTAAAAATATTAATAGCTAGCATCTATTGAAGGCTTACTATGTCCAGATATTGTGCTAAGGATGGTATAAACACTGTTTCACTTCATCCTCATACCAATCCCAAGAGGCTGGGGCATTATTATCTTGTTCTCATTCTAGACCAAAAATGTCCTGAATGTGGTTGACTTAGTCCACTCAGGCTGCTGTAACTAATACCATAGACTGGGGGGCTTAAACAACAGAAATGTGTTTTCTCACAGTTCTGGAGGCTGGAAAATCCAAGCTAAGGGCTGGCAGGGTTTGGTTTCTGGGGGCGGGGGGCGGGGGGCTTCTTCCTGGCTTTCAGATGACTGTGACCTCACACGGTGGAGAGAGATTGCTGTCTCTTCCTTTTCTCACAAGGCGAACAATCCTTTGGGTTGGGACCCACCTTTATCACCCCATTTAACCGTAAGTACTTCCTAAAAGCCCTGTCTTCACATATGGTCACACTGGGGCTCTGAGTTTCAACATATGAATTTGGGGGGGGGGATACGATTCACCCCATAGCAGTGGTGGACAACGTTTAGCTTGGCTTTAATGGACATACACTATTCATGTTGTCAACACATGAAAATGTTTGAGGTAGGAAGATGGCATCTTTCTGCTGCTTTCTAAACACCCTCCCTTCCCCATGAAGAGGGTGGACAGATCACCCGTTAGAAAATAGGACTGTCTCAATGTTTGACAGGAAGGGCCAGCACTCCTGTTGCTTATCAAACAGCAGGAAGAATTAAAAGTTTCTTCGGGTTTGAAGAAACTTGGTCCTTTACGGGATGACCCTTTTATTATCCCGACAAAGGACCTCCTGGGATTGTCTTTAAGAGAAAAGTAGTCTCCTTAGTGTTCCTCTCTCTGTACTTAGATGAGAGATGGCTCCAGTATCAAAACTTAGTTGTTTTTCTCCTTTCTGTCTGCAGAACTAACCCTCTCCTCCAGAGGCTTTTGGTGACTGATCCCTTTCTTCTCCAGGAAGCTGAAGAAACTATTTCGGAAGATGAAAGGTGAGACAGAGGCTGGAGGAGCTGACTCCGCCTGTTCAAAGCATCCAGAGCAGTGGGATCTAGACTACGGCCTGGAACCATACACTGGACTGACGCCAGAGTACATGGAAATGAGTAAGATCCCGTGGGCTTTCCTTCCACTGGGGGTGGGTTCAGATGAGGGGGTCAGGGGGAGGGTTAGGAAAATAACTGAGGCAGCCTCTGCTCCTTCCCGGGCTTCATGGCGACACAGTGTCGCCTTCAGTGCCACGTGGAAGTTGAGGAGGGTGTGGGCAGAAGGAGCCCTGGTCGGCGAACCGGCAGCATCTCATCACCAACTTGATACTCAAATGGTCCCCTCTTCTTTGGGGGCCACCTGTCTTCATCTGTCAAGTGACAGGCGTCGTCTCTCGGGTTCCTTCCCGTGGTTTCTACCATGAGAGGCAAATTGGGAAGTCTGATATTTAAGAATGGAATTTCCATTAAGAAAGAGTAAAGTAGTCCTCTGACACTTGGGACAAGGATATATAAATCTTGATGAGGAGAATATAGGAGAGTCCCTCACTCTGATCAGGCGGGGCTGGGTAAAATATCAGCTTTCCTCTAAAAATGGTGGGGATGTTTTGGGTAGGGGGTGAGAGGAAGATTTCTAGTTATAGTCTCTGATTGTTCTTGGATGAGGCTTAGGAGTAGGAGCGCGTGCAGCACAGGCCAACAGAACACAATCATTTCAGACGTGGTTCGGAAGCCACGTGTTCTCCATCGTGAGCAGTGTCCCAGCTTGGACCAGCTGCCTTCACTTGACTGCTTATTAATAATCCTGAGCTTTCACTGGGGTGAATATTTGAGTAGCCTGTTTCCAAGACTTGGAACTAATGAATTAAAAACATAGGACCGAGAGGGCAGACATATCATGTAAAACATTGACTCAATCTAGAGTGAATGGAGAAACATGAGTCAGATCCAACGAAAGGATCACTCAGGACTTCATATCATTGGACCCTCATTGTGTTTGCATAATGACTCCTGCCTTCTTTGGTTAATTCCTTTTAACAGGGGCTACTAATGCCTCTGTGTACCAGGTACCTCACTCGTTATTTCTGATTGATATTTATCCTCTGTCTTCATAAGAGAGAGAGAGAGAGAGAGAGAGAGAGTGTGTGTGTGTGTGTGTGTGTGTGTGTGTGTGTGTGTTAAGGGTAGAGGGATGGACAAGGTCTAGATGAGATGGCCAACACAGTTTTGTTCTAGTTCTGGGGTCTCTAAAATTCCAGGCAAAGCCTGAGCTCTGTCATCTGAATAAACGCCCCAGAGAAGAAACAATCATTGTGTCTGCCTCAGGAACAATAGACAAAGAAAATATCAAGACACAGTTTGTGTAAACACACAGCTCTCTGATGCTTTTTGCCTCTCGCTAAGGGCTACCTCTCATCCCTCTCCAACACTGAGCCCTACATTTACACAGAGATGACCGCTCAGATTTCAGATGTCGCTCTGCGTCTACCATCCTCTCAGAAAGAGATCGATGCCAGATTGAGGCTTCCTTTCGGGAAGGGGCTTACGCTAGAACCCCCATAGCTCTGTCTTTCAAATTCCACCCTCCATCTCCAGCCCCTCCCCCCAACCACGCAGTTATTTGTGTAGGTGTTAATGCCTGTCTGCCTGTCTGTACAGAGAGCTGGCTATTTCAGAGCTCCCTGTCTTGAGTGATTAAGAGCAGAGACCCTTGAGCCATACTCCCTGGGTTCGAATCCTGGCTCTGTCACCAGCTAGCTAGATAGCTTTGGGTAAATGGCTAACCCTAACCCTAGTCCTAAACCTAACTTCATGGGATTGTTGTATCAATATATAATGAATTAATGTCTGTGAAGTGCATAGAAGAGTGTGTAGCACAAACAAAAGCTGTGTCAAGTGTTGCTGTTTCTCCTAATGGTCTTGAGGCCCCAGGAAGGCAGGGTATAGGAAAACATGCTGTACTTTTTGTCAGCCACGGTCACCAAACAGACACGCACTATGTCATGTTCAGACTCGGGCACTTACCAAGTAATGAGAGAAAACAAGAACTACAAGACTTGGTGATTTTTGGAGGAAGTTCACCCCAAGATTGTAGAGAGTGAAATTCATTCCATAGATTAAACAAACAAGCAAACTACTTACAGGTTAAGAGGGAACAAAACAGCCATAAAACAAAAAGGTTGAAAACAGAAGGAAGCATGTCTCCCAAAACTTTCCTTATTCAAGCCCAACTTTTGGTAGCATTTTGGTGCCATATCTTAGGCCCCTTTTGTTATTTTTTTAAATAACACATATTTTATTTTATTTATTTTTTTAAATAAAAATGTTCCTACTTATTTATTTATTTGAACATCTTTATTGGAGTATAATTGCTTTACAAGGGTGTGCTAATTTCTGCTTTATAACAAAGTGCATCAGCTATACATATACATATACCCCCATCTCTCTTCCCTCTTGCGTCTCCCTCCCTCCCACCCTCCCTATCCCACCCCTCTAGGTGGTCACAAAGCACCGAGCTGACCTCCCTGTGCTATGCGGCTGCTTCCCACTAGCTATCGGTTTTACATTTGGTAGCGTATATGTCCATGCCGCTCTCTCACTTCGTCCCAGCTTACCCTTCCTCCCCCTCTCCGTGTCCTCAAGTCCATTCTCTAGTAGGTCTGCGTCTTTATTCCCGTCCTGCCCCTAGGTTCTTCATGACCTTTTTCTTTTTTTTTTAAGATTCCATATATATGTGTTAGCATACAGTATTTGTTTTTCTCTTTCTGACTTACTTCACTCTGTATGACAGGCTCTAGGTCCATCCACCTCACTACAAATAACTCAATTTCGTTTCTTTTTATGGCTGAGTAATATTCCATTGTATACATGTGCCACATCTTCTTTATCCATTCATCTGTCGATGGACGCTTAGGTTGCTTCCATGTCCTGTTGTAAATAGAGCTGCAATGAACATTGTGGTACCTGACTCTTTTTGAATTATGGTTTTCTCAGGGTATATGCCCAGTAGTGGGATTGCTGGGTCGTATGGTAGTTCTATTTTTAGTTTTTTAAGGAACCTCCATATTGTTCTCCATAGTGGCTGTATCAATTTACATTCCCACCAACAGTGCAGGAGGGTTCCCTTTTCTCCACACCCTCTCCAGCGTGTATTGTTTGTAGAGTTTTTGATGACGGCCATTCTGACTGGTGTGAGATGATACCTCATTGTAGTTTTGATTTGCATTTCTCTAATGATTAATGATGTTGAGCATCCTTTCATGTGCTTCTTGGCCATCTGTATATCTTCTTTGGAGAAATGTCTGTTTAGGTCTTCTGCCCATTTTTGGATTGGGCTGTTTGTTTTTCTGATATTGAGTTGCATGAGCTGCTTGTAAATTTTGGAGATTAATCCTTTATCAGTTGCTTCCTTTGCAAATATTTTCTCCCATTCTGAGAGTTGTCTTTTTGTCTTGTTTATGGTTTCCTTTGTTGTGCAAAAGCTTTTCCGTTTCATTAGGTCCCAGTTGTTTATTTTTGTTTTTATTTCCATTTCTCCAGGAGGTGGGTCAAAAAGGATCTTGCTGTGATTTATGTCGTAGAGTGTTCTGCCTGTGTTTTCCTCTAAGAGTAACACATATGTTAAACATTTAAATATTTTAAATATTTATGAGTTAAAAAATAAAGTTGTGATCATACGCACACATTTCTCTTTTTTCAGTTAGCCTTATATGAATAAATATTTCCAAATTGTCATATAATACTTAAAACAAACAGCTGCATAATAAATCAACCCTCTAATAAATGGATCATAGTTTATTTACCTGTCTTCCAAGGAAGTGAATTGGAGGCTCAGTTTCCAATTTTTCCCCTATTTTCACAAATCCAGTATATATTATTTTCATGCGTGTAATCTTTTCCACGTTTGTAATTACTTCCTCAAGCTATACTCCCCCAGATGTGATGACTAGGTCTAAAGGATGGCCATTGTATGGTTCTTGATTTATTTTACCAAATTGCTTTCTGAAAGGACTAGACCAATTCCCTTCACCATAGACCATGTACGAAATACTCTTCCAATGGGTACCAATTATTTATTACCCTGAAGTCAGGTCGTAATGAAAGAATGGTCAGTGTGCATTCAGCTTGACTTTCCCAGCCCCCATGCCCACCTCATTCTACCTGTTGACGTGAATATTCCAGACTCATCCTTTAAGACTTAGCTTTTCACGGTGCTTCCTCTGTGAAGTCTTCCTAGCCCCGTTCCTGCTTAGAG